GTGCAGCTTTGAGTGGTTCAGGAACTGAAGTAATTTCTAATTAAGAGTGTGTGGGTATACACACACACATATATGGAAGCCTCTTTCCTTAGTATTACTATTTATTTACCTTTTGTAGTTCTGTGGCTAGAATCCAGTCCTTTGACATGATGGGCAACAATTCTGCCACTGAGCTCCATCCCCAGTCTTGACCCATGTTTCTAGTGTTTCCAAGCTCACCAGGGCCCTATAATTAAACTGTTTAGTTGATTTGTGAGATATTTTCCTAATCTGCGGACAAACCTGTTTCAACTGTAAGAATATTTTTTGAGAGAGACCTTGACTTAATATAGAAATCTCACAACTGCATCCACTGCTATCTATCATTGAAGGATGGTTAGAATAAATTTTTTAGACTTCTCATTCATGTACAAATGAAAAAAAACTGAAAATGCTCAAGAGAATGTGAACCCATATCCTAAGAAGTGGCCATCAGAACAACCATGATAACTTCTGTATACTAGTTACTTTGGAAATAGGAAATGGGGCTTTGCATTGGTGTCTTGGGTATTAAAGAGCACAAGAAGTCAAACAGTCCATAAAAACTAATTTTTATACTAGTCACACACATTTTCAATCATATAAAATACTTCAGGTCAGAAACAGATGAAATCTTTTAAGAAATTCCGCATATTTTCAGAAGCAATGTGCTCAGGCTCCTGAAAAGACAGCTGGCTCTTGCCTCAGAACTTACCTTTAACATTATCAACTGCATTAGGAGATTTTATAGCTTTGAAAATTAAGACACAACTCTTTTATGACTCCTTCCCTCCACTTATCTCCATATTACCACTGCTACCATCTTGTATATGAGTCCTTCCATCTTGTTATAGTTCCTTTCTCTGATCAGCTCCATAAGAACCTATCTTTGCCTCATTTTATTTCCATCCATCCATCCATCCACCCATTTATCTATCTTTCTTGGTAGGAATAAGGTGTGAACTCAGGGCTTTGAGCTTGCAAAGCAGGTGCTATGCTGCTTGAGCCACACCTCCAGCCCCTTTGCCTCATTTTATGATGATGAATTCCCTATGGAGACCCTTTGCCCTTTCCACAGAAAGTGGGAAGTGATTTTATTTTTTCTGAAAATGAACAATTTTCTTGCTAGGACACAGGGAAAGCAAAGAGTTGTGCTATGAAAGGTGCAAAACTCTGAGAGGAATCCCATACTGTATGCACTCATCTTCAATGTCATTCTTAGAAGGTGAAGTTAAATTACACAACACAGAGGGTTGGGGATGTAGCTCAAACACTAAAGTGCCTTCCTAGCAAGCTCGAGGCCCTGAGTTCAAACACCAGAGCCAGGGATTAAATTTAGAACTTTGCACATACTATGCAAAGGCTCTACTACTGCTCTACACTTCCCCATCCTTATGATCAAGTTCTCAATCTGATGCTGATTGAAAATCCAGTCACTTTGCTCCTTCAGGTCATCAAGAAGTTATCTCACGCATTCAAACAGAATGGGAGATTCCAGCGAGAACCAAACTGAACAGGGTGTTAGTACATGCAGAAGAATTTGATTTTTTTCTCTCAATTGCAATAGATTTTTTTAAAGCAGGGGAATAATTTAATGTGGTTCATTTAGCTGGATAACTTGAAATTTTATATATATATATAGATATATATATACATACATATCTATATATATATATAGATAGATATATACACACATACATACACACACACACACAGATTCAGAAGGTGAATCAAGTAATTAGATTTTGGGGAGTAAAGGGCAAAGGTCCTGATGTCTGTACAATAGCATGAACTGCAATCCTAAGATTATTTATATTCCCAGTCTCTCCCCTTCAGACCTGTAGACAGTCTCATTTCATGCTATGGTATTTTTGAAGAAAGTTTTTATCTTCAGGGTTGTTGGAAAGATCAAACTGAAAGGAGATGAGAGGATTTTATACCATATGTGCTTCCTGGTACAGGTTGAGTTGTGGTGATCTAATGTTGGGCCTCCTTGGAAGGGCAGGTACAGAAGAGTAACATAGAATTGTTTTTTTTCATTACTGGTCCTGTGGCCTCTATTTGGTCTCAGGTGCCTCGGAATCCACAATGCAAAGGACCAAGATTAGTGACCACATCTATAAATGTCACATATTGATCTTTTTATTTTCTTTTGGCGGTACTGGGGCTTGAACTCAGGGCTTCATGTTTGCTAGGCAGGCACTCTACCACTTGAGGCACTCCACCAACCCAAATGATTTTTTTTTTTTCCTAAAAGAATAGGTTCTTGAGCAGTTATCTCCTATTAGAATCTGTAATTATGTTGAGTTGGAAAGCCCACTCATTTCCAGTATTTTGACTTGCAACTTTTGCTTTACAAAACTCCTTTTGTCTTTTGTGGCTGTTTTGGGTGGTATAAACTACTTGTGTCATGTTCACTTGTGATGATCCCTGTCTCATAAACAATTCACTGCTTTTAACCTGTTTTATTTGCATTTTAAGTTCCTCCATCCAGCTCTTGCACCCCTTTCCCTTTTAACCCCCTTTTCAAAAGCTGCTTTGCAAAGGCTCATGACTAAAGTCGCTTGCAAAATGAATATGGCATTGTGTGAAGCAGCCAAAGGGTGAGAAAAAAATGTAACGAGGATCTGGACCCTGTGAAGAATGTTCCGACTGTATTTGCTTACAACTGATTGTGATAAAGCTCCAACCTCTAAGGTCAATTTTATGGGATTTAAACCTGTAGCTTTGGTTGATGGTGCCTAATGAAATAAAAAAAAATAATAACCAAAAACCAAAAAAGACATGTCTGCAGATGTTCAATCATTATGGGATAAAGTACTTCTTAAATTGCCTGCATAAATACAGCAACCCTAAGGTAAGTACTCATTTAAATACACCTGTGAAAATTAAATCAAGTTTGAAAGTTTTCAAATACTTTCTTCAGTAAGGATTCTGCTTGAATGTACCTAATGATATTCACTGTGGTATTATTTTAACAGCAATGACTGAAAACATTTTAAACTGATAAACACAGGCAGGGGCTGGGGGCTCATGCCTATAATTCCTAGCTACTCAGGAGGCAGAGATCAAGAGGATCATAGTTTGAAGCCAGTCTCGGCAAACAACTCCAGAAACCTTATCTGGAAAACACACAATAAAAAAACAGGGTTGGTGGAGTGGCTCAAGTGATAGAGTGCCTGTCTAGCAAGTGTGAGGCCCTAAGTTCAAACACCCAGTTCTGAAAAAAAAAACAACAAAACCAAAACCAAAAAAAACCCTAAAGATGACCACAAAGCTCCATAAATATCATCCATACAATGAAATTCTACAAAGCCAAGAGAAAGAATGAAACATCTTTGTAGTGATACAGGATAATCTAAAGATATATTGTCAAACAAGAAAAAGAAGGTATAGAGCAGTGTGGGTGGGCCCTATGGTAATTGTTAGTGTAAAACAAAACAAAACAACCCATTACATACCCATAAGCTGGCAGGAATGAGGAGCATACAAGACTCTCAGGGGAGAAGAAACAATACTGGGTTAGGACTGTATATTGTGGTTTGGCATGAAATGTACCCCAAAGACTCATGTGTTGAAAGGTCGGTTCCCAGCTGGTGGATCTACACTTTGATAGCATTACTGGAAGGTGGTGGAGACTGTGAGAGGCAGTAGGTCACCAGGAGCATGTTCTTGGGTCTGTGCCTTGTCCCAGGCCCCTTCTTCTGCCTCTTTAGTGGGCACCTTTAAGTGAGCATCTCTGTTCTGCCATGCCCTCCCCATCATGGTGTGCAGCCTCAACTTAGTCCCAATGTCAAGGGACCGAGTGACTGTGGGCTGAGACCTCTGAAACCAAGAACCGAAGTAATCTTTTTTCCTTTAAAAGATCCAACACAAATAGGGCTGGTGAGTGACTCAAGTGGGAGAGTATCTGCTTAGCAAGTGTGAAGCCCTGGATTCAAATTCCAGCACCACCAAAAACAAAAAACGGTCTTTGGCAAGTTGTTTTTTTTTTTTTCCTTTTTTTGCAATACTGGGGTTTGAACTCAGGGCCTATACTTTGAGTTTGAACTTAGGGCATCGCACTTGCAAAGCAGGCACTCTACTGCTTGAGTCACACCTCCAATCCTTGTGATGGGTTTTTTAAGGTAGGGTCTTGTCAACTATTTGCCCAAGCTGGCTTCAAGCCACAATCCTCCTGATCTCTACCTCCTGAGTAGCTAGGAATACAGGTGTGAGCACCTGGCAGATAAAGCATGAGGTGCTGTCTAACTGTAAAATCTCTCTCTCTCTCTCTCTCTCTCTCTCTCCCCCCCCCTCCCCCACACTCTTTAAGTAGGGGCTGGAGGAATAGTTCAGTGGTAGAGCACTTGCCCATTATGTATAAGACCCTGACTTTACTATCCAGCACAGTAAAAAAAAAAAAAACAAACAAACCCAATTTGTTGAAAGATAAACTTACAGATTTAAGTAAGTCAGGTATCCCCAAGCAAGATTAAACACCAAAGAAAATAATCACAGGCAGACTCTTAATAGTCTAACAGTTAAATAACAGAGAATAATCTCTTTTTACAAAATGGCATCACGTATACAATGACTGTGAACTTCTATTCAGAAACAATGAAAGCCAGAAGATGGTGAATGAGTATGCTGAGGGGTTCAAAAAGATGTGTAGATACAAGGTTTTTTTTTTCAGTACTGGGGCTTGAACTCAGGGTCTTCACCTTGAGCCATTCCACCAGCCTTTTTTTTTTTAAGTGATAGGTATTTTTGAGATAGGGTCTCTTGAGCTATTTGCCTGGGCTGGCTTTGGACCACGATCCTCCTGATCTCTGCCTCTTGAGTAGCTAGGATTATAAGTGTGAACCACTGGTGCCGGCCAGATATGTGGTTTAACATTTGACATGTGATTGATATAATTCATAATATTAACAGTATAAAAGAGGTAAAAATCAGTTTGCTCACTTCAACACATGCAATGTTCATAGTGCTTACATACTCACTTTAAGTTTTCTAATTCCTGTTTTCTTAATGGAGAAGAAGGTGGAGCTGGAATGAACTTATCTCCATCATGGCTTTTACTGTTGAAACAGAGACAGACTCTTAATTATGAAAAGAAACAAATAATTAAATGCAGAATTTGTTTCCTTATCCCCACTCCCATGGAATTATTTATGACAAAAATGCAAACAAGTCAAAACAATGGAAATGCTTAACAAATAAGTATCACTAACATGTTAAAAGCTATGCTGTGAATTAAGTTTCTTTTCCCCAACACGCAATGCTATTTTTAATAAATCTCTAACTGCAAACATCTTTACAACATAAAGGAAATCGTGGCAATGTTTACATATATCTTCAGTCTCAAGACTGCTTTTTTATCAAGTACAATTAAACCTAACTTGTTGACAGCAGGAAAACCACCATAAATTTTTTTTTCAAACTTTCTGTAATAAACATTTAAAAAATAATAATCAAGAAAAAAAGCACTAGATGAGCCAGGGGGTAGCTCAGTGGTAGAGCATTGCCTAGCAATGCACCAAGGCCCTGGGAAAAGAGGAGAGGGTAAGGGGAAGGAGAGGAGAAGAAGGAAGGGAAGGGGAGGGGGAGGAGAGGAGAGAAACAGCTAAAAGTGTCAGAATGGGAGACACAAGTTTTAAAAGGTACCAGGTATAAAGGCAGAACTTTCTATATACAGCAGTGTTTTGCTTTTTGTTTTCTTCAGTACTAGGATTTGAACTCAGAGCCTCACACATGCTAGGCAGGTGTTCTACCACTTGAGTCATGTCCCCAGACCTTTGTGTATGGTATTTTTGAGATAGAGTCTCACTTTTTGCCCAGGCTGGCCCTCCTGAGGAGCTAGGATTGCAGCTGTGAGCCACTCATGCCTGGGAAGCACTGTTTGTTTCATTAAAACTAGATAAGTTTTTTCTTTTTTTTTTTTTGTGGGATGGGGTTTGGACTCAGGGCTTCAAGCTTGTAAACCAGGCACTCTATGGCTTGAGCCACACCTCCAGTCCATTTTGCTCTGGTTATTTTGGAGATGGAGTCTCACGAACTATTTGCCCTGGCTGGCCTCAAACCTTGATCTCCTTAGTCTCACCCTGGTATGTCTCCCAAGTAGTTAGAATTACAGGCCTGAGACACTGGCACCTGGCTCTCATAATTTTTAATTTATACTAGAAAACTAAAAACATGGAATATTCTGATGGTTAGTTTGTTGAAAGGCAGAGGATAAGCCGGGCACTTATGCCTTTACATAATCCTAGCTTCTTGGGAGGCTGGGATTGGGAGGAATATGGTTTGAAGCCAGCAGGGGCAAATAGTTTGCAAGACCCTATCTCAAAAATACGCAACATGAGAAAGGGCTGGCGGATTGGCTCAAGTGGTAGAGCACCTGCCTGGCAAGTGTGAGGCCCTTAGTTCAAACCCTAATACCACAAAACAACAACAAAACCAAACCCAAAAGGCACAGGATAACAAGAAATGAAAAGTTTCAGGATATATGTCTGTATGCAGGTTTGTATTAATTTATTCATGGCCTCAGACTCACTATGTAGCCCAGGCTAGCTTTGAACTATTGAACCAACTGCCTTAGCACTCTGAGTGCTAGGCTCACAAGAATACACCACCATACCTGGCTTAGTATTTATTTTAGAAAATGTAAAAGAATGTTGTCTCATATAATCATAGGCCTTCCTGCAATGAAAAGCTTTTCCTTCCTATTTTCTCCTTTAAGGATCTTGTCTCCATTAGTCTTCACCTTATTTCTCTTTTCCAGAACTACTAGAAACATAATCTGCTTTGTGATGATTTTTTTAGCATAACTTTTTAATTTAACCTCTATAAGATTTGGTATCTTGCAACTTTTGGCCAGGTTTATACAATTTCAGATTTTACTAGTACAACCTATGCAAGCAAAAAGAAAAGAAAGGAAAAAGAAGAGACCAACCATCTCCTTACAATACATCAAACTGGGTAACAACAGTAACAACAAAAACCACACAGCAAAAGCCTACAGTATTTCCTCATTGTCTAGTTTACTACAAGCACTGTTTCCTGTTTATGAGTGACAAAGCAGATTCAGGTAATGAAGTAAAAAAAAAAATCTGCAACATAGATGTCAATTGTACTTTATGAACTATCTTTAAATTAAGTAAAATGGAAGTTTTTTAAAAAGATAGGATTAAAAGAAAAAAAGAAAGAGAGGCCTGGGTTGGGCATGTGGCTCTAGCAGTCAAGTGCCTACCTAGCAAATGAAAAGCTCTGAGTTTAAACCCCAGTATCACCATCAAGAAAAAGCTTATAGCCATCTTGGCAGCACATATTAGGAAGACTATCAAGACATTCAAATTAACTTTTAAGTTACACACCAGTGGCTCTCATTTGTCATCCTAGCAACTTAAGAGGCTGAGATTGGGAGAATCAAGGTTCAAGACCATCCAGGGAAAAAAGAAGTTCTTAAGACCCAATGGAAAAAAGGTGGATGTGGTGATGCTGGGGCAGTCATACCAGTGACAGTAGAAAGCATAAAGAGAAGGATGGAAGTCTGGGCAAAAATGGAGACTCTATCTCCAAAATAACCAGAGCAAAAAGAGCTGTAGACATGACTCAAGTGACAGAGTGCTTATCTAGCAAGTGTGAAGCCCTGAGTTCAAACCCCAGTGCCTCAAACAAAAAAAAAAAAAAAAAAAAAAAAAAAAGAGTAGTATCACAAATAAAGGTATGTACTTACTACTTTGAGGAGAAATAGGGAACACAGGAGGGTGGTAGGGGAGAGGGTTCAAAGGGTTAACAGCAATATCAAGGTCTAAACACTACAAAAAGCAATAACCAATGCTGTACATCTACAAATGTTTCTCTCTAATACTTGATTCTATGTTAATCTTGTTTACACATTCTTTGAAAGGCATGCACTTGTAAGGTGTGAATTCAAGTATGATATATTTGATATACTCTAAGAACTTTCATAAATCCCACAATGTACCCCCACCCAGCACAGCAATAAAAAAGAAAAAGACATGCACTGTCAGAACAAAAAACTACAGAAGAACCTGAATGTATGATATGCAAGCGTTTATTGCCTCCTTCAGTAGAACTATTATTTAAACTGGAAAAAGAAACCAACATATATTTTATTTATATACACGAAACACATGCATTCAGGGCTAACTCCCACAGCAATGACATGGACACACTGTGTTAACCCTGACCACTGTATAACACAAAGTAAAGCCAGCTTGGTCGGATGCTGGTGGCTCACCCCTGTAATCCTAGCTACTTAGGAGGCAGAGATCAGGAAAATCACAGCTCAAAGACAGCAAGGGCAAACAGTTCGCAATACCCTATCTCAAAAATACCCATCACAAAATGGGGCTTGCGGACTGGCTCAGGTGGTAGAGTGCCTGCCTAGCAAGCATGAAGCCCTGAGTTCAAATTCCAGTATCACCAGAAAGAAGTAAAAGCCAGTTTGGGAAGTTCTGAGCATTTTAAATCAATTGTGGATTGTTAACCTTTACAAATTCACCAACAGACTGACACACATGCACACATCTCCCTGGGCTCAAAGTAAAAGTGTATGGGAAGCACGTATGGGAAGGATACATGCACTATCATTTCAGCAAATATCTATTTCAGGTTTGTCTTAACTCCCAAAAAAGTCAACTAGACAGCAAAACTAAAAGATTCCTATCATTCTTTGGAAATTGTCCCTGATTTTTAAAAATATGGAATGCTTCATGATCTTGTGTGTCATCCTTATGCAAGGGACAAGGTAATCTTCTCTCAATCAATCCGATTTTAGTACGAGTGCTGCCAAAGTGAGTACTCCTTTGTTATGATTTAAAACTGAGAATTTTGGAAATTTAGGCTGAAGATTTAAGGAACTGACTGAAAAGACAAAGAGGCTTACTAAGGAAGTCCTGAAAGGATTTTGCTGGGCTTACCATACCTGCAAGTTTCACTGCTTTCACTGCTTTCTGTGTTCCCCCCTAATTGATTACTATTTTTAGACCCATTTTCCTGCTTTGGATCTTGCTGTTCTTCAGGTAATAGCAACAGGGCATTTCTGAGACAAATGGCTGCAAACTCCATACTGGCTACAGGAATGGCTGAAGACTGCCCATCACTTTAAAAATAAAAAAAAAAATAAAATTAAAAAATAAAATAATTACCTAAGTAGAGAGCATACAAATAAGACTTTTCTATTACCAGAAATAAAACCTAATGAAAACTCTGTCCTTTGATAAGTAGAAAGTTTAATAGGAGAATGCTAAAGAACCCCAATCCTGATATAACATATAAGATGTAAAAAGTAGAAATAATGGATTGTAAGTATATACTTTATACATTGTATATCTAGGAATGTCATCATGTATGGGTGACAACTTTAAGTAAAAATCTGCACATCAATATTAGAGTAACAGAGGAACTGAAGATAAGGAAAGTTGTAATGAGGGCCAGGATGGGTACAAGAATGGAAAAGAAGGGAGGAAAATCTATTTTCACATTGGAGCCTTATTTTAGTTGACCTTTACATTCATAAATGCCTTTGTAGGTTTTGAACCACCAGCATGTTTTATCTTACCATTTTATTGACGTTTTATATGACTTTTTCTATTATATCAAACTGAGTCATCTTTATCAGTAAAAATAAAGTTCTGAAAAGTAGCAATAACTTTTGTAGGAACATCATGTTTTAAGTCCTAAAAACAAAAATGTAATAGTCTTTTAAAAAAAAACATCATTAGAGATGGGGGTGTAGCTCTGTGGTGGAACACGCGCTTAGCATGTGTGGGACCTGTGTTCAATCCCCTGCACCAACAACTCCATTTCCCCCGAGAAGGTATATTATAGGTAAACTAAATTAAAACCCAAAAACTATCTACAAGATACCATTCAAACTTTGGAAAATGTTTTCTCTTAGGTGCTGAGTACTGAAACCAGAGTCCCACACATGCTAAGCACATACATTACCAATGGGCTACACCCCCAGGCCTGGAAAAATTTTTGAAAATGATAATGAACAACTTTCTTCTTTGAAAAAGTCTCTGCAGTCTTATTACTTTAGGAAAAATAGCAACTCCAAATTGGGATTTTTTTTTTTTTTTTTAAATCTTGCTTTGTTGTTTTACATGCTCTCACTATATAGCAGAGGTTGGCCTCAAACTCATGATCCTTCTTCCTCAGCCTCCTGAATGCTGGAATTACAGATGTGTACCGCCATGCCTGGCTAGATACTCTTGTTTAAAAGTTGTTCAACTGAAGATTGCACATGTGACAGTTTGTATATTGCTTTGGTTGCTTTATTTATTAGAATTAGCTTTAAAATATTTACATTCCTAAGAATAAGGAAAATAACTGAGTGAAAAGCATCAATGACAACCAAGACTATGCAGTATCCACGGGGAATTGCTTTCAGGGCCTCATGTATACATCAGGATCTGTGGATTCTTATGTCCCTTATATAAAGTAGGGTAGAATTTGCATAGAACCTATGTATATCCTCTTAGATACTTAAAACCATCTCTACAGTATTTATAATCCTTAATACAATGTGTCATATAAATAGAAATAGTTGCTATATGGTATTGTTTAGGGATAATGACAAGAAATACATTTTTAGTACAGATGCAATTTTTTTCTCATGAGTGTTTTCAATCTGAGGTTGGTTGAATCCATCCATGGATGGAGAACACACAGACATAGAAAAGGAGGCTTGGCAAATGTCCTGGAACCAATCCCCCCTTTATGGATGCAGAGAGATGACTGGACATGAAAAGGAGACATCAAGATGCCCTCTTTCGGCTGGGTGCTGGTGGTTCACACCTATTATCTATCATAGCTACTTGGGAAGCTGCAACTGGGAGGACTGAGGTTTGAGGCCAGCCTGGGCAAATACTTTTTGAGACCGCATCTCTAAAATAATCAGAGCAAAACTGAACTGGAGGTGTGGCTAAAGCAGTAGTGTGCCTGCTGAGCAAGAGCAATGCCCTGAGTTCAAACCCCAGTCCCACCAAAAATAAAATAAAAGATGCCCTCTTTTGGCTCTAAATAGTGACACCAATTAGACTTCAGTTTCTTAGGGCATCAAAAATTTCAGAACTGACTGGTGGAGTGGCTCAAGCAGTAGAGCACCTGCTTAGGAAGTACAAATTCCTGAGTTAAACCCCAGTACCACTCTAAAAAAAAAAAAAAAAAAAAAATCAGAATCCACGGACATAATAAACCAAAATCACAATGTGTTAGGTAACATTCATTATGAACCTATGTTTTGGGGGGGGGGGGGTCCTGTTTACTGCAGCAGCAATAAAACCTAGTTACCAAGTAGTTCCTGTGACATGATTAAACCCTAAGCATATGGTTACACATAAATATATTATGTGTAACAGTATTAAATATATACACTCTCTCTTAGCAAAATACTTACTTATATACAGTGTTCTGTATAGACTGTGATGCCAGAACTATTTTACGATGATAGCCTTGACCAACAATGGACTGTACAATTCCCTTTTTGCTTGGAAGACCTTTAGTTTCTTGTTCAGATGTCTACAAAATATAAGTAATTTCACATAAATTTAAATTAAGATGTGGTATGACGGGTGGCAGAGTAGCTCAACTGGTAGAGCGCCTGCCTAGGAAGAATGAGGCCATGAATTCAAGCCCCAGTATTAAAAAAAAAAAAAAAGTAACAATCATACTATCAGCAACATGTAAACTCTAACAAGCTATATGCATAAAGTTTACATGGACACAATTCTTTCCTGCTAGAAAATTAAAATCCCCAAGTCATAAAATCAGTGAACATTTAAATGAAAACAAGTAAAAAGCTATTTGCCCACCTATAGTATTCTAAGATATTTTACCAAGCTATGTTGTTTCACTGAAGAAGCTTGTAGTACCAGTTTAATTCCTCATCATCCCCTCCACTCCAAGCCTCCAGTTCACCTTTGAAATTCCTGCTAGCCATAAGACATGCAAACTCTCATATCAAGGAACAGACTGGAGCCAGTCAATATGAACTTGCACAAATGTCACTGTAATTAACTGTACAAAGGCGCTGAACACTTAAATTCATTAATGAGTTGAGAAGATTTCTGGAGGCCCTTTAGTGACTGATTGAGATAAGGTCTTGCTATAGTTCAGGCTGGCCTTCAACTTCCATATCCTGTTGCCTCTGCCTCCTGAGTGCTGAGAGCTTGATTGGAGGTTCTAGCAGGGGAGCTCAGCTACCCGTATACCCTTGACTGAAGAACGGTCCTCCTCTATTATGGATGGTCGTCCTCTTTGACCAAGCTCGCAGCTTCGGGAGGGACGCACATGAAGCGGTGAGGGAGGAAGGGGACACCCGCCTAGCCAGCCAGATCAGCCGAATCAACCCTGGCGATCAATGGGGTGACAGATGTTGCAGCCAGATCGCCCTCACATCCAAGTGCTGAGATTATAGATGTGTAACACCACGCCCAGCCCTTTTATTTTAAAAAATACAAATTCAACCTAGAATTGTTTATCAATTAATTAAAAAATTACCCAAAAAGAGAGCTGTCTTAAAAAAGGGCTGGGATGTGGCTTAGTGGTTGAGCACTTGTCCAATATACACAAGGCCCTGGGTTTGAGCCACAGCACTGATAAAAACAGCATGCTATGAAAACCAAAGTACAAATGAACTTATCATTAAAGCCTTTCATCCCTGGTATAATCAAATCATCAACTGTTGGAATACCAAGTGCGAAAGCTGTGAGGCACACATATTTCTTTAAACCCCTCATCAGTTCTTTCAGCTGCTTTTCAGAAAAGGGCTGCTTAGCAGAAGAGTCTCAATGTTCTACACAACTTATGGCAGATATGCAAGGCAAGACCTCAGGATTTCCCATCACCCCAATCTTCACACAGCCAGGGAGCATGCAAAGGGAGGTGGAAGGGAGGGGTTTAGGAAATGGGTGACATAGACCTCTGGTAATTATAAGATCACCTGGCTTTTACTCCCACCGACTCCTCTCAACTTGAGATTAAAGGCTTCTACCAATTGCAATTTGGAAACAACACCAACTCTCACAGTCACTGTAGACAAATGGTGACAGAGAGAAACAGCCTGGTCATCCATCTACTGACACCAAAGTAACAGTCCCAGGCATTAAAGGAAATGCAGCTTAATGTAGCTCTTGCCACATACTAGCATTGTTGGTCTCTAATGATCTGGTCCACACAAACTGTTCTCACACCAGCAGATGGCATGGTCCCTGTCCCAGTAGCTAGCAGACCACTGTTGCAACAGATAAGGTGTTCTCACTGGCTTCAACCCTATAGCGCTGCCACACTTATACAAAGAAACAGATTTTTATCAAATGACTTTTTAAAACTAATTCCCCAAACCCCCAACTGTTAAAGAACAGAAGGCTGTCTTTATAAATTCAATGAGGGTTAAAAAGAAAATGAGACCTCACATGTTCCCAAGTGTTTTTTTGCTTTCTATGTAATAAGTGTCAAGGAGGAGAAGTAGGGGTTCAAATAAACACACAAGCAGCACTCACCCCCTTATTGGCAGCAATGCAGCATTCAGCCAGCCGAAGCCAAAGGCGGGGATTTGCATGATAAACCTGAACAGCTTCAATCAGACACTCGAAGGCAGCAAGAGGCCTTCCAATGTGAAGAAGCTGAATTCCACAGTTATACAGCAACTCGTACCTCTTGTTGGTTAATAATGTACACATGGGCCTTCCTGAAAATTTTTTGCCTAGTATTAAAAATTTGAGAATAAATAATTAAAGTAACAGTTACATTGCAAACATTTATTGGATAAAGTACTTAAACACTTTTGAAATTGTCATGGCTCTCACCAGTGGTAGTCTCCATAACTGCCCCACAGATATTCTCTAGTCATGTCAGCTGGCTGTGCTAGCAGGGCCAGAGTTGTCTCTGCTCACTTGCCAGCTATTCAGGCAACAAGTGCTCCAGGAAAGCAAAAATCACTCATTGCTTTCAACTTAAAGCATTTCCACATTTTCAGAGCCAGTAAGAAGAGTCCACTCTTACTTTCAGCTTGGCTAACCATTTTATTATCACAGCCTACCAACTCAATGTTTCATAGCACACAATAAAAGAACAATTGTGACTTAGAAAACATTTTTCAGCTAGGTGCCAGTGGTTCACATCTGTAATCCTAGCTACTCAGGAGGCAGAGATCAGGAAGATCAAGGTTCAAAGCCAACCTGGGCAAATAGTTAAGAGACCCTATTTAGAAAATATCCAACCCAAAACAGAGTTGGAGGAGTGGCTCAAGTGGTAGAACACCTGTCTCGAAAGTACGAGGCCCTGAGTTCAAAACCCAGTACCTAGGTTTTTATTTTAAAAAGTAGAAAACTGATTATAAATCAATTCAAATCAAGAATCTATATAACATGAATATTAAAGTATAAATTTTGGATTAGAAGTGTGGCTCAACCTGCTTTGCAAGTGCAAAGCTGAGTTTAAACCTTGGTCCTACCAAAAAAACAAAAACAAAAACAAACAAACAAAAAAACAGATAAATATCAGAAATTTGCTTATACTATAAATGCTGCCAATGGCATCTTATGTGCAACTCTGTAAGGAATTTATAATAAAGCTAGGTTGACACAGTGAGAAATCTTAACTGTGACTAACCAAACATGGTTCATAATATTCCCATGCAGGAATGCTGATTTTCAAATTCATGAAAAATTGAAGGTAACTTAAATCTTTTGATAATTCAACATTACTCCTAATACCTTGCTATCTATTAAAAATCTCCAGAGCTCAATTTGTTGGGCAGGATCAATATTAACTCTGCATAGGTCCACATGGCATGTATTTTGATTGGATGTTTGTTCTTCTAATCTTGCTTTTCTCAAACAGTACTAACATGCAAACTGACCCCAGTGCTGGGCTTACCTGGATCAATGCTACCTGCACTGAGTTGTGCACAGACACTGTCATTCTCCTGCAGAGCTTTCTTAAAGTAGAAAATCCCCAAGTTGTGCTTGCTCATGGCAAAATGGATACAGCCAAGATTATTCCAGAACATGCATCTCAGGCATTCACCTGAGAAAAACACAAATATGTCTACAGAAAAGGTTTACCAAGATATCCCTTATACAATAATCAGGCTCATCTAGTGTTAAGTTAATTCTTCTTGCAATTCCACTTAGTCCCTACAGAACAGTTCACAAGACATTAGGAATTTAGGAAATATTTTTTAAAAACTTAAACTTTATTTTTTTTGGTGGCACTGGGGTTTGAACTCAGGGCCTAGGCACTCTGCTTCTTGAGCCACTCTGCCAGCCCTTTTTTGTAATGGGCTTTTTTGAGATAGGGTTTTGCAAACTGTTTGCCCAGGGCTGGCTTTGAACTGCGATCCACCTGAATAGCTAGAATTGCAGATGTGAGCCACTGGTGCCTGACCTAAACTTTTCTCTTAATTTTTTTTGGGGCGACAGGGCTGGGTGATTGAATCCAGGCCTTGTACATGCTAGGCAAGCAATCTACCACTGAGCTACAGCCTCAGCCCTAAAATCACTTTTTTTTAAAGGGGATAAAATTATTTTATTATTTTGGCTTTTTGAGACGGGGCTTATGTAGCACAGGCTGGCCTGGAACTCCTGATTCTTATGCCTCAGACTCTTGAGTGCTGGGATTACCATGTCCAGTGAATAAAATTATTTTTTAAAATCCAAACCTGTATACTTTAGCTTAATTTTTTTCCTGGTTGAATTTTAATAATTATAGTCAAATGATATACAAAAATAAAAAAGATAAAGGATGTATTAATAACCTAACATATATATGCAATGCATTCACTTAGTGAAATTCTATGTAGCAATTGCAAACAATGAAGCAAACATATATAGGGAGTAGGAGTGAGTGTTGCTCAGTGATAGACAACTTGTCCAACTTCCTGGGTTACATACACACACACACAGTTCTTAACTGGCCTTTGACCAACACTTAAAAGCCTGGTTGCCCTCCTTTCTCTATTGCTCTAAGTTAAAATAGGATGACAGAGAAACTGATAGCCTTAGAAGAGGACTGGGTGTTGGTTTGTAGCTATAAATGAAGCAGGCCCCTGCCTTCACCTGAAATTCCACCCCTGGGCCAGAGGGAGAAAAGTCTGATTTGAAATGTTGTGGGAGTAGGAGCACTGGTGCTCTAGGCTGCAATCACAGCACAGTGAAGCTGTGCCCCTCACTAGGGGGCCCTTGAACACAGAAATCCAGACTTCTGCTAGTGTGAGGTATGGGAAACAGTACTAGGAAAAGAAAATTGGTAAAAGGTAGAGGTAATAAAAAAGGGTGATTCACAGAAAAGGAAAAGAGGAAATGGATAAAGCAGAACCAAGGAGCAACAAAGGACAAAGCGAGATAGGAAAAGAGAAAGAGCATGAGAAGCAGACTGAGCAGGTGAGGCTGTTGGGTGGTCTGATGGAAGTAAAGGTGGAAAGATGGGGCAGCTGAGACTTGCACAGGGTACTCCACTGTTATTCTTTGCAACTAATTTTTTATTGAAGGGCAGAGAAAGGAGATTTATCACTCAGCCCAACACACATGGTGGGCCATCTTCCTTTACGTTATTTTAATTCATGTTGAGAAGACTGTTTCTGAGTAGCGGCACTGTGAGCAATCAACCAAATTCCTATTTCCCAAATCTTCTCTAATAAGCAAATTTTACCCATAGCAAAAATAAACTTGATATATAGGAAGAAGCGAAAGGTTTCAGAACTGCTAACTATGGTAATATCAATATGCAAAATACACATGTATATAAAACCTTTCCATCAGAGCACTGTGACTGTTGATCAGTTACACTCCATCACCTGACCTGGCTGGTAGTATCAACACTGAAATTCCACACAAGGCAATGCTATGAAAAACTTTCTAGACTGAGAGATCCTTTCCCCTCCTCCTTTCTATGCCCCTCCCCTTTTCTTTCTCTTTTTTTTTTGAGACACTGTCTTCCTATTTAGCCCTGGCTGGCTTTTTTAACTCACTATCCTCCTGTCTCATTTTCCCAGAGCTGGGATTACAGGTATGCACCATCACACATGGTAAGAGATCATTTCAAACTGACGGTCAGTTGGCCTCAGAGGGGGAACTATAATAAAAAGACCAAAAGTTAAAATTCAGGGGAATTAGAAATGGGTATTTAAACAAAAAGGATATCTACAAGAGAATTATAATAAACAAACAGCCATTCTCCATGACTCCAGTGAACTGAAAGGGTAAATGGGAGAAGGTCTGAGTAGACTTGCAGCCATAAGCTATGTATGCATTTGAACAGAATCCAAAACATAAATAAATAAATGAGGCAAGCTGAGGCTTGCTTCAAACTTGTGACCCTCCTAATTATAAGCACGTATTGCCACACTTGGCCAACTTTTTATTTTTTTGGGGGGGTAGGGGGTGAGACTGGGATTTGAATTCAGGGCTTCACACATGCAAAGCTTTTTAAGTCACACCTTCAGCTCATTTTGCTATGGTTATTTTGGAGACAGGGTCTTGAGAACTGCTGGCCCAGGGTGGCTTTGGACCATGACCCTCTCCCTCTCAGCCTCCCAAGTAGCCAGGATCACAGGTATGAGCCACCAGTACCAGCTGCTTTGTTTGTATTTAAAACTTGGTATGGTACAAGCATTTTTAGTAGATGGTCCTGAATTCTTGAGAAAAATAGCAATGGGAGAAACCTACATATCAGCCACAATTCATGCCTTTTATCTTACCATTAATAGCAAGCAATTCATTATGACTCCCTAAATTTATGGATATGTTTTTCATAATTAATTTTCTAAAGAAATTATATCATTCACTGTTTTTACAGGAAAGTAAAAACATCTAATTTCTTTAAAAGGTCACACTTCATAAAGCAAAAGCTGAAGGACCGGATGCCCAGACATAATTTCTAAGGTAATATTTAAAAACAAAGTGAAAGAAAGAGCAAGTAAAGGTTTAAAGAAAGAGTAAAAGAAGCAATAAGCTTTTTTCCAAATTTGAAACTAGTCATAAAGTAAAATTCTAGGAATTTTCTGCAACAGAAATCTTGAAATATTTTGTTGTTGTTGTTTGTTTTAAGATAGGGTCTTGCAAGGTAGCCTGAGTTAGACTTGAACTTGTAATCCTCAGTGTACTGAGTGCTGGGGTTATAGGCATGCACTGCCACACCTAGCAGAAAACATTTTCATTAAAAAAAAAAAAAAAAAGAAAAGGACTGGAGGTGTGGCTCAAGTGGTATAGTGCCTGCTTTGCAAGCACAAAGCCCTGAGTTCGAACCCCAGTCCCATAAAAAAAAATCAGTTAGGTACTGGTAACTCACACCTGTAATCCTACCTACTCAGGAGGCAGAGATCAGGAAGATTGTGATTCAAAGCCAGTTCACGCAAATAGTTCACAAGACTCTATTTCAAAAATACCCAACACAAAAAAGAGCTGGTGGAGCAGCTCAAGTGGTAGAGTGCCTGCCTATCAAGTGTAAGGCCCTGAGTTTAAACCCCAGCAGCACCCCCAAAAAGCCAAATCACTGTGAAGGAGTCAGATTTAAAAAAACAAGCAATAAAGGGTAGAACAATCAGAAAAAAAATGTTACAATTTTCTTTTACCTGTTTTCATGAATCCTGGATGTTCAGCAATGTTTGAACTATTTAATAGCTTCACAGCTTTTCGGTAATTGCCCCTTAAGTACTCAAAATTGCTTTTAAGAAACAGGGAGGGTGCAGACTATAAAGAAAATACAAAAGTTATGAGAAATTTATTTTCAGTTGTCTAACACATATCATAATTATACTTTTGCATAGATATGTGCTCAAGAGCATGTATTAATCAGTTAAGTCATAGTCACAAAAAAGTTTCTAAAACTGGGGGCATGGCTCAAGTAGTAAAGTGCTTGCCTACTAAGCACAAAGTCCTGAGTTCAAGTCCTAGCACAGCTTCCCCCAAAAAAAAGTTTCTAAATTTTTCACTACTCTTGCAACCTAAAACCTCTGTCAAGAGAATACCTTGTAAAAAGAATTGTTGTGTCTAACTAAAAAAAAAAATTAACACAACATATATGTATATGAATACAGTCTACAGACTACTGACTGTTATCATGTACTACATCAGTATTTGGAAGTCAATTTTTTTTTTATTCTGTATTTTTTTTAGATATGGGTCTCAAGGTTCTGCCCAGACTAGCCTAAAAGTCGTAGCAATCCTCCCACCTCAGCATCCTGAGTAGTGTGGACCTCCAGACCTGACTTAACTAGAAGCCAGTTTCACAGCACAAACTAGGTCTTTTTTTTTTTTTTTGTGGAACTAGGATTTGAACTCGGGACATCACACTTGCAAAGGAAGTACTCTACCACTTGAGCCACATCTCCAGTCCATTTTGCTCTGGTTATTTTGTCTTTTTTTTTTTTTTTTTTGCAGGGGGTTAGTACTAGGGTTTGAACTCTGAGCCTCATGCTTGCTAGACAGGCCTCTACCACTTGAGCCATTCCACCAGCCCACTCTAGTTATTTTGGAGATGGGGTCTCGAGAACTATTTGCTTAGGCTGGCCTCAAACCTCGATCCTCCCAATCTTTGTCTCCTAAGTGGCTCCTAGCCACCTGCGCCCAGTGAGGTCTTTCAATTTTATAGTCATTTAGAAAGACTGATGATTGTCCTTATTTCTTAGGATACAAATGTACTTTTCATTAGAACCCAAATAATCAAATACTTTTCCAAACAGGAAAAACAGCAGCACTGTATGAATGGAAGAATGATCTCGACAGAAAGCTTCGTTTCTGAGTGCTCTTGCTGTTTGAAAAACTATGTTTTGGGCTGCAGATCATCTTTTACTTCTCTTAGAATCCTTAGAGTGGAGGGTTCTCAAAATTATACTAGTTTAGAGTGTAAAAGCACACAGTGGGTAACACTAAATATATATCCATGGAAACTGGAATCCCTGTCCATTACTTATTCACTTCAGCTTAGAAACCGGCTTTCCTTCTAAATCTTAGTTCCTCTGCTCTGCTTCCTGTTCACCTTGGTCACTAAGGAACAAGAGTTTTCAAGGATTATTCAACTGAAGTTTCCCCTCATTGAGGTATGACGACTGATTGCATGGCATTACAATTATTTTCAATTGTCTCTTTCCTGTGACTAGATTCTTTAAAGGAAAAGATTATGTCTTTATCTTAAAAAAAAAAAGTTTGATCATGGCTGGCTGGCTATTTAGTCCTATCCTTCTGTGCCTATAATTGTTCTGGATTACAACAGTTCTCAAAACAAAACAAAACAAAACACTACTGGAATACTAATAAAGGGGCTAATCTAGATTCTGCCTGGTATCTCCTCAGGATGTCATACTTGTAAATTGACAATTTTCTATAACACCAACTTGTTCATAATTGTTTCTTGCACCAAATTATTTATCCATAGAGGACTGGGGTGAGAAGAATAAGAGGAGGAGTCATTATATCTCAAATATTCTAGTACCAGTCATCGAAAACTCATTTGGGAATAGTTTTCGCTATAATTTGACTGCTAAATCTTTAATGAATGTTTTGAGTGTAAAACTAAAACATTCTAAAATAACACAAATGTTGAATGTATCAGCAAAACATCTAAGTGAATTTTTATAGATTACTACTGGAATACTAGGCAGCTATTTAAAGTACAGGTCTTAAAGAATGGATACAAAGGGGACATACTTAATCAAAATTTTTTTTTTTTTGGTTGCTGGAGATCAAACCCAGGGCCTTGCTCATGCTAGGTAAGCTCCCTACACCCCCTTAAAATTAGTTATAATTTTAAGTAAAAAATATGCATTAAACTATGGACAAGTATGATTACTACTTCCCAACTATGTAATACTGAGGTTTATGTCTGTTAGTATATATAATAGACTAAGATGAATTATCTATTTGGTTCAATCTTCAGATTAAACCCAGGGTCTGCCTCATGCAAGCTAAGCATGCACTCTACCAACTGGGACCAGACCCCAGCTGAAAATAAATTATTAAAACTAACCAATACTCATAGTCTAAATAAGAAAACTGTAAAACAAGAGAAACTGTTAAACAAGAGCAGAGTCCAGAGGAACTTACGTTTCCAGCTGTGTTCATGACTGACTTGATTTCCCTTTTGCATGCTTTCAGGGACTTCATTTGGATGTATGCTCTTACTTTGTACTGTCAAAGGAGAAGTGCTAGTAGTAAGAATAATTCATTTACATATGCTAAAGTTTTGCTTTCTAATTAAGGAATTTATACCCAATCTGTTTACAACATACACACCAGTTCCTTGCAAAATCAAGTTTAAAATTATCTTAAATATTCTATTTTGATTGTACTCTTGGAGTAAATGCTAAACAACAAAAAGTACTGTAGAATAAAATTTATATTTGCGTTCCGAGAAAAAAACCCTAAAAATCCATATCTACAGTTAAGTGGTTTTAAAATTCCAAACTGATTTTATTATCTAATACATTCCCAGGCTATTTATCTCAACCTTTTATAAAATAATTTAAAAAACTATCATTTTAAGCAAAATAGAGGGATAAATGTACTTCTAAATTAGAATCGTTCAAAATGAATAAATATGCCTGCTTTGAATGAACATGTATTTTTTCACTGACTTATCACATTGCTTCATTATGTGTGTGAAGTTTATACTACCTGATGTATCTTTGACTTTGCAGCTTCAATCAGAGCTCCACTTTCAGCTTTATGATTAGCTCCATCTTTGTTGGTATTATTGCCAGTCTGTAGGATGGTGAAACAAAGTCTGTTTAAATTGACCATAACTAACTTCCAAGTAAGCTAATAGAGAAATCAGAGTATTTTCAAAATACAGAACAGCAGGACCCACTCTCAAGAGGTTCAGGCTCAATAGTGTCCAGTGCACGACAGGAAACTACTTAGAGAAACTCACATCTGAGCATGAAAAGCTTGCTTTAAAAACACAGGTGTTACGCAGTCTATCTCTCTACAACTCCCAACGGATCACGTCCCTGCCTTCCTAAAAACTTTCTCTGCTATAAACACTGCCAACTAAATCAAGTTCTAACTTGCTAGATAAGTACTTCTTCACACTCTAATCCACATTCCCATCACCAACCTTATTCCTCCTGTTCTCTATTACACTCCTCGGATGCTGCTTATTTTATTATCAGAAAATCTCCCAGCATGCCAGACATTCATGCCTTCTATTCTGTTTTCTCTGCCTGGATTGTTACCCTGTTCAATTTTTCTCTTTTTGTTTTTCTCAGTATTGGAGTTTGAACTCAGGCCTCATGCTTGCTAGGAAAGCACTCTACCACTTGAACCATGCTCCCAGTCCTTTTGGCTTTAATATTTCCCATAGGGTCTCGTGTTTTTGCCAGGGCTGGCCTGGACCTTGATCCTCCTATTTATGCCACCACACCCAGCTATTGGTTGAGATAGGGTCTTGCTAACTTTCTGCCCACACTGGCCTCAAACCATGATCCTCCCAATCTCTACCTCCACTCATATGTGGGATTACAGATGTGAGCCACCATGCCCAGCACAGCATTCTTCCTTTTTTGGCTTGTCAGACTATTTGGATAGTCAAATCAAATGTTCAAACTCCTGTGAACCACTCCCTAACCTCACTCCTCCCAGTCCATGAACTGATGTTATGCCATCTATTCCTTCTCAGCAGAAGTCCCTAAAATCAAGAACTACAGTGTCTCCATTTTGTCACTTAAGTATAGAGCACAGCAACAAGCATCTACTGAACTAAATTATATTTCAGCAAATGCTACAAGTACTAAACATAAAAATTAAGTATTTTACAACACAATTTCCAGGAATAATGCAGGTTGTTCAACTGAAATACTTTATATATAAACATTTGTTAGGCAGAAAAAAGTAAAACATCCTAGATGTCTACTTTATGTTTAAACCTCAAACTTTTATAGGCGGGGGGCGGGGGGCACAGCAACCAGTCCTAGCAAGTGGTCCCAGGTAGAAAGGCATTGGCAATCTTTCCCTCATATATTCCTTTTCTATATAATAAGGGGTAGAGCTGGGCATAGTGATGCAGGGTTGTAATCCCAACAACTGTAGGAGGTTATAGGCAGGAGTATCACCATCAGACACAGCCCCAGGCAAAAATGTGAGCCCTATCTGAAAAATAACTAAAGCAAAAAGGGTTGGAGAAGTGACTCAAGTGGTAGAGCACCTGCCTAGCAAGCACAAGGCCAGTGTTCAAACCCCAGTGCCACAAAAATAGATTGGGAGAAACATGAAGAAAAAGGGTCATCCCTTTAGAAGAAGCAGCGCAGCAAAAGACATAAGACCCAGGATGTGTATTTTTTTTTTGCCATACTGGGGCTTGAACTCAGGGCCTACACCTTGAGCCACTCCATCAGCCGCCCCCCCCCCCCCGCCTTTTTTTTTTTATGAAGGGTTTTTTCAAGATAGGGTCTTGCAGAACTATCTGCCTGGCTGCTTTGAACCACAATCCTCCTGATCTCTGCCTCCTGAGTAGCTAGGATTACAGATGTGAGCACTGGTGCCTGGTGTGGGTTTTTTTTTTAATGCTTAAATGATCATAATTTATTCAATGAAGAAATAAGTTACTTAAGAACCTAATGTGCCCAGTGCTGGTGGCTCATTCCTGTAATCCTAGCTACTCGGGAGGGAGAGATCAGGAGGAATGAGATTCAAAGCCAGCCCAAGCAAATAAGTCTCAAGACCCTATCTTGAAAATACCCAACACAAAAAAAGGCTGGTGGAGTGGCTCAGATGGGAGAGCACCTACCTAGCAAGCATGAGGTCTGGAGTTCAAACTCTAGTACCACCCCCCACACACACAAAAAAAGAAGCTAATGAATAAATAAGGTCCAGATATTATCTGGAAGGGAAGATAGTATTTTAATGATTATAGTAAATGTAGTAGCAAAAATTTTTCTCTTTTTAATGCTTGACTATTGAATCCCCTGTAAAATGAGAGCCAATGGAATCATTTCCTGCTCTTTCTTACTTTCATCCAGCCTCCAGTTTTGCTTAAGGATAAATAATGCTATAAACGTCTGAGAAATAGTAACATCAAGTCTTCCAGGATGTATTCTTTTGTTTTTGTTTTGTTTTGCTTTTTTGGTGGGTCTAGGGTTATGAACTCAGAGCTTCGAGTCTTCAAAAACAGGTGCTCTGCCACTTGAGCCACACCTCCAGTCCATTTTGCTCTGAGATGGGAGTCTCTTGAACTATTTCCCTGGGCTGGCCTCGAATCACAATCCTCCCCATCTCAGCCTCCCAAGTAAGTAGTATTATAGATGTGTAAATGGATGTATTCTTTTTTTTTTTTTTTTATAGTACTGGGATTTGAACTCAGGGACTCATGCTTGGTAGGCAGGTGCTCTACCACTTCAGCCTCTCTACCATTTGTTTTGTATTGGGTATTTTCGAGATAGGGTCTTGAGAACCATTTGCCCAAGCTGGCTTGGAATTGAGATCCTCCTGATCTCTGCCTCTGAGTTAGTTAGGATTACAGGCGTGAGCCACTGGCGCCCAGCTAAATGGATATATTCTTAATACACACCAAGTCTCTTAGCAGAACATGGTGTAGCTTAATTATTGTAAATGGATGTACTTTTTTTTTTTTTTTTGCTGTGCTGGGGATCGATCCCAGGTGTTCTCCCAATTTAATGTATGCTCTCCTTGAAGAGCTTTAATGATGAAATTTTCCCTAATGAAAGCTAAGCTGTCTACATAGATTATGGATTTTTTTCTGTCTTAGAAAAACTGTCTCAGGGTCTCCCTATGTTACCGAAGCTGGCTGCTATCTCCTGGGCTTAACTAATCCTCCTACCTCTACTTCCCAAATGCCTGGGATTCTAGATGAATGCCACCATGCTTGGCTTCATATTACAGATTTTATTATCTTTTCTAACCTTAATATTCTGTACAAATATTCTGCACATGAAAAAATGCTGAGTATATATCCTTAGTCATTCAGGAAACACGAATCAAAAGTATTATGAGGTACCACTTTGCACTGAGATGGCTAAACGTTTTACAAAGACATACAAGCTAGTGTCGTGGCACATGCTTATAATTGCAGCACTTGGGAGGCTGGAACAGGAGGATGAGAGGTGCGTTCAAGGCACTGTCTCAAACAAACAAAAAAAGACAATAACAAGAAATATTATAACCTTCCAGAATTGCTGGTGAGAAGGTAAAATAATTAAACTACTTTGGAAAATAGTCCAGTAGTTACCCCACTAAGGCTAAATATGCAATTACTATACAACACAGTGATTTCACCCTCAAATACTCTTCCTGAAGAAATGAAAATAATGCTAGGTGCGGATGGCTCACGCCTATAATCCTAGCTATTTGGAAAGCTGAGATTGGGAAAACAATGGTTCAAGGCCAGCCAGGACAAATAGTTCGTGAGAACCCATCTCCAAAATAAGCAGAGCAAAATGGACTGGAGTATCCCTCAAATGGTAAAGCACCTGCTTTTCAAGCATGAGGCACTGAATCAAACCCCAATCCCACAAAAGAAAAAAAGTGAACACACAAACAAAAAGCAGTACATGAATGTTCATAGTAGCATTATTTTTAATAGTCAAAAGTGGAAAGGATCACAAATGTCCATCAACTGCTGGACTTAAAAACATGACATTATTTGTGTAATGAAATGGAATAGCACTCAGTTACAGAAAGGGATAAAGTAAGGAGTTGGAGACATGGCTCAAGTGGTGGAGTGCCTACCTAGTAAGCATGAGGCCCTTAGTTCAAACTCCAGTTTTCTCACACACACACACACACACACACACACACACACACACACACGGGGGTGGGGGGGGTGGGGGAGGGGATAAAGTACATGAAAAATACTAACTGAAAGAAACCCATCACAAAAGGTTACATGTTCCACTTATATGTATATCCAGCACTGGGCAAATCCACAGAGATAGGGAACAGAATAGTGGCTGCCAGGACAGAGAGAGGTGAAATAATAATGAATTCTGGTTTCTTTTTGAGTTAGTGAGGACATTCTGTAATAAGATAGTGGTAACGCTTGTACAACTATGTGAACATAGTAAAAAAAAAAAAAAACCACTGAACTGTACACTAAAACAGCAGCTTACTGGGTTTGGGCAAAAAACAAGGTAATTTATGTGAATTTTATCTCAATAAAGCTGTTAAGATACTCAATTTTAGTTTGATTATATGGAGACACTTACCTCACTTTTTCCATTTTTGTTATTGTTACCCTGTGAAATCATTTTTTCTAGGACGGCAAGAAGATGCAAAGCTTTCTCAGCTTGGTAGGTTAATATATATAGGTCTACAAGCAAAAAACACACTGCTTGGGCAAATTTTTCTTCTGGCAAGAAAAAAAAAAACAAATAGGAAAAGAAAAGTCATAATCCAAAATCAAGCACTTATCTCAGACTACCCCTGTAACAGTGCGGAGCTCTACAGAGCAAGTGAATGCAGGTCGCGAGTCGAGAATGAATTAACTTGCTATGCCAACAATGCTGTGTTACTGAGGGGTCTCAACGCCTGTCATTTCAGGGATCCCAGGACTAAACCTTCTTTGTAAAATATTTACTAAATGCTAGCACATGCACCAAGGAATCTAACTTAGGTAATAATAAACCTGAATTCCAGTTCTTGCTCTGCTACTTGGTGGACCTGTGGACTTTGAACATCACTTAACTTTTTAAGCCTCAACGGCCAGAAATGAGGGAATACTTTACCTACTCGAAGGCAGAAGGTCTCTTGAGGTTCCTTCTAAGTCTAATAAGGTTTATGCTCTAAGAAAAAGATTTCCTTTCTATATCACAGAGATGGAAAAAGAATGTGATTATGGAAGCAAAAGCAGCAAGGTGTGAAGTGGAGCGCATGTGAAAATTGAAACTGCCAAGAGGAAAATGCAATGCAGGCAACTTGGTATGACATAAAACCATTCTCTTTTCCTTTCAAAAGTGAAGACGAAAGGAAAAATATAAGGGAAAAATGAGTCTAAAAGACATCTGTCTACTTGGGAAGCAGAGACCAGGAAGATCTCGGTTCAACACCAAGGATCCTGCCAAACACAAAAAAGGCAGGTGGAGTGGCTCAAGTTTTAGAGCAGCTGCCTACCAAGTGTGAGGCTTGGAGTTGAAACCCCACCATTGTCAAAAAAATAAATAAATAAAAGGCAGCCACTAAAATCTAGAACAGAAAATTTCATAAGCCTTTAGAAGTGGAATCCCCAAGGATTCTGAGCATATTTCAGACATTAAATCCTTACAATGCTATACCTGTTGGGCCCATTGCGTCTAACTTTATCTCCTACTGTTCCCCAACCCCGCTCCACAGAGGCCTCTCTGCAGTTCCTCTCACTCAACACTGTGCTCACCTAAGGTCCTCAGGATATACAGTAAGCCTTAGTTGGAATACTTTCCTCAAGAAATTGCCACTCACCTCCTTTCCTTACTCAAATCTCTTCTCAAATACTGACTGATCCCAGACTTTGTTTAAAAGTAACATCCTCAGTTTCTATCCTCTTACCCGATTTTAGCTTTACTTCACAGCATTCAACCACCTCACAATATATATTATGTTGCCTTCTCTCCCATCCGAATATAAGCTTAATGGAGGGTAAAGACTTTCTCGGCTTTGTTCATCACAGCAGCCCCATATTTCAGAAGAACCTGTACCACAGCATTGGCCCATGTGCTCAATAAATGTGTGTTATATGAAGAATCTAGTAGTTATAATATTGTTTCATTTTCTGGAAAACATAAAACTATAGAAACAGCAAAAACTCAGTGGTTGGAGAAAAGAGGAGAGGATGATAGACGGAAACAGAATTTTTAGGGCAGTGAACATCCTCTGTATACTACTACAATGGGCCTACTGGTCCAAACCCACAGAATGTTCAACACTAGGAGTAAACTCTAATGTAAGGCATGGATTCAGATCATGTGTCAGTGTAGGCTCATCAACTATAACATGTACATTGGCACACTTAGCAATGAGAGATACTGGTAATGTGGAGATTTATAAATATGGGTGGGGGTGGGGAAGAGGGTACATGGAATTTCTGCATTTTCCTTTCAATTTTGCTATGAACCTAAAACTATTATGTTCAAAATAAGATCTTAAAAAAAAAAAAAAAGAACCCAAGTAGTAAAACTTAGAAAAGGAAAAAATAATTTTCAGAAAAGAAAAAAGGATTTAAATACTGACTATATTGTTTGCTATATTCTGTTCAGTCACTGTACAGACTGATGGGATTTTGTGAACTCTTTGGGGAATATGCTTTTTAGCACACAAGTGAGCCATATTTCTGACTTCTAGCTATGCAGAACTGGTCACCAGTTATACTATCCCTAATCACTAACATCTCTCCTGCCCAGTCTGTCCAGTCACCAAGCCCTTAGAATTGAGGGGAGAAGAAAAGAACCTCAACACAGCCCCTTGAAATCACAGTAACCAGCAGCTCAATCAGCATCTTCCAAAGTGCCACAGGGGCATCATTTTGTCCTGTGGTAACCATAACCAGAAATGGTGTTCATAAGTTAGGAATTCCTATTAATGTTCTAAATTTAACAGAAAAAAATCAGGAGAAAAACAGAAAAATGCAAAGCACAAATGAAATCAGACTGACTGTGGGCTGGAAGCCAAGAGTGCACTCTAACCACTGCCTCTGGATCCAGCTTCCCTCTGCTGCTCTGCTAGCTCCTGCTTAGCTCTCTTACCTGTCTTACTACTCCTATTCCTACTTGAGGCCAGCCAGTTCAGACAAAAAAAAAAAAAGCAAATGTAGTTTATACTAGCAGACTGCATACAGGAATTTCAGTCAGAAACAGACTACATTGTATGCTAACAGTCCAAAATGCTTCCTTAAGAAAGGGTCTGGCTTACTAAGGTAGTGTTCAAACAGCCAAGGAAAACCTAAGATTCCAACATTTTCCCACATTTCTAATCATCATCTTCAAAGCTTACGTGAGACAGGGTACAAAAAGGAAACCTGAATTTATCTAAATATCATACAGTTTTTATCTACTTTAGAAGCAAATTTAGAAAAGTTGACATAGTCTTTTTTCTTTGAAATACTGGCATGTAATTTTGATTAGGTTATTTAGGTACAATAATCTAAATACAATAAATAAATTTTACAAGTATGAGAGCATAAGGAAACTTCTGACTTGACAGGTAACATACCAAAAGGTTCTATGAACTGATAAAGTTTTTCACCAACTGCTATTGCCTCTGTATATTGCCGCAGATGATAAAGAATGACTGCTTGATTATAATACAGCATGCTGTTTTCAACATCATCTAATCCATCCATCTCTTCAACAGCAGAGTGGACCTATAAAACAATCAAGAGAACTTGCTCTAACAACCGTAAAGAAATAAAGAGCAAAAGTGAAAGAATTCACTAATAAAGAGGAAAAGAGGCTAACATTTCTTTTTTGGAAGTGCTGGGGATCAAACTTAGGGCCTCGTGGCTGCTAGGCAAGCACTCTACCCCTGAGCTGCCCAGCTGAAGGCTTCCCCGCCTTCCTCTCCTCCCTCCCTTCTTTCCTTCCTTCCCTGGGTTTAAACTCTCACTTGCAGAGCAGGCACTCTACTGCTTGAGCCACACCTCCGGTCCATTTTTCTCTGGTTAGTTTGGAGATGGAGTCTCACAAACTATTTGCACAGGCTAGCCTTGAACCTCCATCCTCCCAATCTCAGCTTCCCAAGTTGCTAGGATTAAAGATGTGAGCCACTGGCACCCAGCTCGCCACCATTTCTTATTCAGAGTTTTCTACACTTTCAATAGTGCCTTTAGAATTTAATTCCTCCCAAATATTAAAAAATCATCCCTTTTACCTGTTTTCTTTACTTAACAGTAGCACCTGTTAAGTAAAGTGTTTGGATGGGACTTTATTACAAAGTGTCTAGCACAGGCAGGGTAGCTCTCTCCGTTGCCACTAGGAAGATATCCTTGTTATTTGAACTACCAACGCTGCTTCGGATTAGGAGTCCCATTTTCTAGCCTCATGAGTTTTAAGAAGGTGTATGGAGAGTAGGCCCAACTCAAAATGATCTTTCCCTGCTGACGTTGGTGGCTCTTGCCTATAATCCTAGCTATTCAGGAGGCAGAGATCAGGAGGATCAAAGTTCAAAATCAGCCTGAACAAATAGTTCACATGACCCTATTGCAAAAAATCCCATCACAAAAAAGGGCTGGTGGAGTGGCTCAAGGTGAAGGCCCTGAGTTCAAGCCCCAGCATTGCAAAAAAAAAAAAAAAAAAAACTTTCCCTTAAAAATGTTACATAATGTGAAGAACTGTAAAACATATTACAAAATTTAAACATTAAAGCCGGGAGTGGTAGTGTGCCTAGGAGGCTGAGACAATAGAATCTCAATTTGAGGTCAATAAGCGAACAAAAAACAATAGCATGCCAGGCACTGGTGGCTCATGCCTGTAATCCTAGCTAATTTGGAGGCTGAAACTGAGAGGATTATGGTCCGAGGCCAGTCCAGGCAAATAGTTCGTGAGACCTCATCTCCAAAATAACCACAGCAAAATGGCCTGAAGGTATGGCTCAAGAGGGAGGATGCTGCTTTGCAGGCATGAACCCCTAAGTTCAAACCCCAGTTTCGGCAGAGTGGCTCAAATGGTAGAGCACCTGCCTAGCAAACATGAGGCCCTCCCTCCTTCCTTCTTTTTTGTTTTTTTGTGGTGCCAGGGATAGAACCCAGGGTCTCATGCATGTTAGGCAAATGCCCCACAATTGTGCTGACATCCCCCAACCCATTTTGCTACATTTTCTGATTCATCAAAATAACCTAGTAATTGCTCTAGTCAGAACAAGAAGTCATTAAATGTGTCAATGAAAGAGGAACAGGTTGAAAAGGTGTGTAACTGTGCCCAAGACATGTGACTATGAACAGAAGGATGACTTAAAGGAGTCAGGAGACCCAAATACAAACACTTCTAGGAAACTCTAAAGTTCAAAGGCATTGAGTCAACCTTATTAAGAATAAAACCTAGAGAAAGGATTTCAAAAAGAAGTTTCTTGGCTCAATACAAAGTCTGCAGGAGCTCTGATTCTAGAACATAGTTTTAAGGCTGAACTTGTTCTCAAAGACCAAACAAATCTGTCCTAAAAGAAACTATCTATGGGGACACAGAACACACATACTGGCTATCAGCAAACATCATCTTTCCTTTGAGTTTGGAACTCCAGATAAAGTCATGGAAAACAATATTGGAGTAATGAAGAAATGTGATATAACAAACCTGTGAGGACGAAGCAGTTAGAATAGGCTCAAGAATCAGCTTTCCGCTAGCAGAATGGCTTAAGCTTAGAGCTCCTGCATAGCAAAGAATCAGCTTTCTTCAAATTCTACCCTTTCCCTTACCAGCAAGATAAATGAAAATGATTATTAGACTTCCTAAACCCTAGCTTTATTTTATTTACTTATTTATTTTGGTGGAACTGGAATTTAAATTCGGGGCTTCAGGCTTGCTTTGCAGGCCTTCTACCACTCAAGCCACTTTACCAGTCCTTTTTTGTGTTGGGTGTTTTTGAGATAGGGTCTTGTTTTTTTTTTTTTTTTGCCTGGGTTGGCCTTGAACCATGATCCTCCTGGTCGCAGCCTCCTGAGTACTATGAGCTCTGTACCCTAGTTTTAAAACTGAGCCCCAAACTCTAGTTTTAAAACTGAGTAAGTGCCTACCCCAAAGGCTGAATGCGAGAAATATATGAGATATAGTATAAAAAGCACTTTATAATTAATTTAGTGTCAAGAAAGCATTAAATAAACGTTGGCTATTATCCTCATCTTCATTGAAGAATTAAAAATTTTTTTTTCTTTTGAGTGAAAGTCTTGCTATTTTGGTCAGGCTGGCTTCAAACCCGTGAGACTCCTGCCTCAGCTTTTTGAGCAGCTGAGATTACAGCAGTGTACTACTATGCCCCACTTCTCAGTGAAGAACTTTAACAGGATTTAAAAATTACTTTACTGCTAAACAGAATTATGAACAACCTGAAGTGATCACCTACTTCTGAATGTACCATGTTTAAAATGATAGTGTATGGTATAAAGGTACTCCTGACTACCAGACATGGGCTCAAGGTCTCAGGACTCCCTACAGCATGAAGCAGTAATTAACACTGCTGGCTCCAAAGTCAAACAGAACAGGGATTCTATAATTGTTACTACTTAAAGGCTTGATGTCTTTAAGCCAGGTGCTGGTAGCTCATATCTGTAATCCTAGCTACACAGGAGGCAGAGATCAGGAGGATCATGGTTCCAAGCCAGTCTGGGCAAATAGTTTGCAAAACCTATCTCAAAAAACCCTTCACAGGGGGTGGGGGCAGTGGGGAGAAATGACCCAAGCCTTGTATGCACATATGAATAATAAAACAATAAAAAAAAAAACACATATTAAAAAAAAAAAAAAAAAAGGCAAAAAACCCCCAAAAAAACCCTTCACAAAAAAGGGCTGGTGGAGTGGCTCAAGGTGTAGACTCTGGTTCATACCCCAGTACCGCAAAAACAAACAAACAAACAAACAAAAAGGTGTGATATCTTTAGAAATTTACATAGCTAGCTGTCCCTCAACCTTTCACACCTATAAGAAAAATGACAGCAGCAGTTTCATGGAGCCAGTGAGAAGAAAACATGAGATGCTACAAAGAAGATCTTTGGCAGTCTGTCACATAGTGAGTAGCTGCCTGCTAGCTGATCCTGTGAGCACTATCAGTGATATCTGTGATGTGTGAACTGTTATGACCCAAACAATGACCAATTCAAATTCCAAACCAGATATAAATCAGACTATCTTCTATTTAATCATTTCCTGATACAAAATTGTGAAAACCAGACAGTATTACCAATGATTAAGATCCTACAAGGTATATAAATAAGATATATCTCGGTAACTAAGGGTCTTTACATGGTTCTACTTGACTTCTTCCTGAAAACTATAAAGCACATTCAAATTTGGTAATTAGACTATTCTGTTCAAGTTATTTAAAAACCCAATACAAAACAAAACAAAATAAACACATGTAACATACCTTTTGCTTCCTGGAATAATAATTTCGTACAAGTAAAATACCAATGCATGTTTCAAAAATACATTAGAAATTCTGCCATAGGTATCAGACAAGAAATCACATTTATTTTCCTTAGTTCTAGTTCACAAATGAGCACAATAATTTTTTATAGTTAAATTCATTTATCACCTGATTCTTCAGCTGGTTAAGTGTTTGTCTCAAATTATCTGTTGTTGTTTGATTACTTTTAAAAAATTCAGCTACTGCTGTATTCAATATTATTTTATAATCATCTTTGTTTATATCTTGTAGACAGGCAAGGTGTTGCAGACAGGCATCATAATTTCCAGACTAAAAAAAAAAAAAACAAAAAACGACACACACACACAAAATTACATACCAGCTTTAAGAACATTATTTCCAAATATATTTCATTCATCTTCACCTCAAAAATTCTTATAAAGACAGTTTCCCTAATATACTAAGTGAAGTCACTAGATAAAGCAATAGTCATGTCAATTAACAAACTGTATATTTCTAAGACTCAAACTCTGACAAATATTATCTATAACACAAATGTAGATATAACACATATACTGGTATTTATGTGCATATACTGCTAACAGGGTATAAAACACTGAAGCTACCCAAAAACAATTACTCCAAATTTTAATCTTTTTTTTTTTTTGGGGGGGTGGTCCTGGAGGTTGAACTCGGCCTCCCACTTACTAGGCAGATGCTCTACCACTTGAACCATGCTGCCAATCCTTTTTTTTTTTCTTTTTTGATATAGGGTCTCACTTTATGGCCAGGCCACCCTGAACAGCGATCCTCCTGTTTGTGCTTCCCTGTATAAGTAGAGATAACAGGTATGTACAACTATTCCCAGCCATTGGTTGAGATGAGGCCTTGAAATTTTTTACTCAGGCTAGTCTCAAACTGTGATCCTCCTGATCTCTGCTTCCCAAGTAGCTAGAATTATAGATGTTGAGCCAGTATACTCAGTCTTTTTAGTTACTAATAAAATTATTCTGCTTACAAGTATACATCCTGATAAATAAGGTGGGGCTTTTGGTTGTTCTTTTGTTTTTGGTGATACTAGAGTTTCAACTCTGGGCCTTAGGCTTGCTAGGGAGGCACTCTACCATTTGAGCCATTCCCCTTGCTATTTTTGCTTTAGTTATTTTTTTGATAGCATCTCTTGCTTTTTCTGAGGGCTGGTGTCTAACAGTTCTTCCTACTTAGCCTCATGCATAGCTGAGACTACAGCTGCACACCACCACACATCTGACTTGTTTGTTGAGATGGTGGGGGGAGTCCTCGATAATTTCTTCCCCCCAACAGGTTGGCCTCAAACTTCTGAGCCTATATATTTCTACTTTCCAAGTAGCTGGAGTTACAGGTATATGCCACTACACTGGGCCAGAATTTTTTTCCATTTTGTTTGATGTCAGAAAAGTTGACATTCTGACAACAAGCTTTTGGGGTTCCACTTTAAAATACATTCAAGACAAAGGACTGAACAGAGTAGTGAAATGGCAAGACTGACCCACATAGTTTACAAATCTAAGTTTAAAAGACTCAAAAAACAGTTAGAGTTAAAACATATTTATGAAAACACAAAAACTTGTCAATGGCTCAACATACTTCCATTCCTTTCATCACAGATAAATTCTAAAATGTTTTTTGTAATTTAAAATGACATCTATGTCTTTCTAAACTCTTGAGTCACTGCAGAACAAAAATGACAGATTTCTGTATTCACTGTGAAAAAATTCAAACACTACAGTCCTAATTTGAGCTGAATACAAGAGAAGCATGTCTTACTGTGAAAGCTTGGAAAGCGCCAGTGGACAACTCCTTCTCCTGGTCAGTGATTCCGGAGGACTGACCTGTCCCATCATGCTTCTCTGCTCCCTGATCTGCAAACACACAAGTTTCAGAGTGCTTTAGAAATGAAAGGTGCACAACCGACTTATCTTACTGCTCTCTGTAGTGCTAGGGTGGAACCCAGGGCCTTGAGCACACTAAACACGTGCTCTATCACGTGTTGAGAGCTACAGCTCTCAACAGCAGCTAGTCATTGTTGCAAGAAGGTGCTCCTCTCAACACTCGAAATGTTCCCATTGGCCATGGTAAAGTACAAGAAAAACCTGGCCCACTCTGGTAAGGACCACAAGCTGCTCATTAGTACATTCAGGCTGAGAATGTTGTGTTAATAAATACATCTGCTAGCCAGCATATTCAAGAAACCATGCCAGATCCTGGAGAATAAGGAAAGTATAGCACCTATAATAACTTTAAGTTGTCTACTTGAAAACTAGTAATGTTTAGTAATTAGAAACCATATTGATAAGGGTTCTCAGTTAATTTCCAGGCAAACAATGTTTTCCCAGGCTTAGAAATAAAAAAGCCATTGATAAACATATTTTAAAAACTTCCTTAACATGATTAAGTGTCCATATATGTTCTAATTAAAGATTAATGATTCTGCTTAGCGAGAAAACTACCTCTTACCCCCATAATTTACTATTTAAAAACCAATTTTTTTTTTTTAATGATTTCAAGATGGAATCTTAAAACAAAGGTAAAAATCTCAGCTGAACCAAGTCTGAAACTCTACCTTAAACAAAAGTATGAGCTGGGCGCCAGTGGCTCATGCCTTATAATCATAATTACCTATGAGGCAAAGATCAGCAGGATCTCAGCTCAAAGCCAGCTCAGGCAAATAGTTCGCAAGACCCTATCTTGAAAAAAATCCATCAGTAAAAAGACCTGGTGGAGTGGCTCAAAGTGTAGCCCTGAGCTCAAACCCCAGTATTGCCAAAAAAAAAAAAAAAAAAAAGTATGGCTGGACATGGTGGTGCACACCCATAATTCCAGCACTTGAGGGGCTAAGGCAGGAAGATTACAGGTTAGAGGCCAACTGGGCTACAAGGCAAGACCTTGTCTCAAAAAAAAACAAGACAAAAATAAGCATATTTTCAAGTGCTCTCACAAATGCTTAAATACTTCGTGTAAATCAAGTAAGAACTTCAGCGTCATGGTTGCTCCCTAAATTTGTGAGTACAATGCAGTTAGATTACTTCACTTCATGCCCACAGTGGTAATCTTTCTGGACTAGTGGATTCTGGCAGGGAGGGGCTGACAGGACCCTTTCATCTATTTTGTTCTCCTTGGAACCTGGAGCCTTGATGTCAAGTGAGTGAGAAGAATCATAACTTTTTTGTTGTTTCTGGTGGCACTGGGGTTTGAACTCAGGGCTTTGCGCTTGCTAGGCAGGCACTCTATACTTGAGCCACTCCCTCAGCCCCCTAAATCATGTCTTTGGAGAAAACAAGATACTTATTTGTCTCAAACTTCAAACCCTCACCTTTATGTAAACCACATAAGCACCAGCTGCTAAACACAGAACAATTTAAAACAACAGTTCCCAGGCCGTGCATGGCAGTACATATCTATAATCCCAGCTACATGGGAGGCACAGTTAGGAGGACTGAGGTCCAAGACTGGCTAGGGCAAAAAGTGTGAGACCCTATCTGAAAAACAATTAAAGCAAAAAGGGTGGAGGATATGGCTCAAGTGCTAGAGTACTAGTCTAGCAAGTGCAAGGCCCTGAGTTCAAACCACAGTATTGCCCTTCCCCCAAAAAAACAAAAACCAAAACTAACCCAAAGTTTCCATTTCTACACAGAGAAATAGAAATGACATTTTTTTGCAGTGCTAGGATGGAACCCAGGACCTTACACATGTCAGTTAGGCAAGTGCTCTACCTCTGAGCCATCTCCTCAGTTCATCTTTTTCTCTCTCTTTTTTTTTTAATAAAGAAGACACAATAAAGTAAGTTATAAAAGTTGAGTTAATAAATACTCTCAGCTGCATCTACAGAGCTGTTAAACACATGTCAAATACATCAAAGAGCCATCAAATGTTAAGTCCCTTTAATCTGTGTTTAAATAGGTTTCAAAACCCTTCAGCCCCTTTCTTGTTTATTCAATGCTATAATAACAGACTTTGGGAATGGGAACTGCAGGTAGGGAGGAAAGCCACAGTCCTTGAGAAGGCAGAGCTAGCTGCAGTGCCATGGTTAATTTTATAGTTAAAATAGTTCATCTATTTATGTATATATGTATTTATTTATATTTTTGACACAGAGTCTTGCTATATAGTGTAGGTTGACTTTGAACTGTCCGTCCTCCTGCCTCAGTCTCTGAGTGCTGGATTATACACATGTCCACCATGCCTGGCTTTCATTTAATATTTGACCTCAAAATTCAGGACACTTGTACTATGACATTTCTTGCTTTTTCTCTAAAATACTGATCACACCATATAAGTTGTATGTTCCTACTTAATATCAGTCTTTGGAAACTGTTTTCTTCTAATTTACTATTTTTCCCATTCAGAAGACTTTCTTTTGAGTTAAAAGAATAAAAGCTTCCCCTCTACCCCCGTATCTTTTTTACTACCACCCACACCCCCAATTTCCAATTTTGAAACTTTTCATACCTTCAGAAAAGCTAAAAGGATACACAATGAATGTGTCTATTTTCTTCACCTGTGTTCAATGTTTTTTCACATTAACCTTTTAATTCTGAGATAATCATAGATTCACAGGCAGTTGTAAACCATGATACGGAGAGATCCTTTGTATCCTCTAGCTACTTTCCCCAATGGCAACATCTTCCAACGTTACAGTATAACAACACCACCTGCACCAGAACGTGGACTAAGATGCAATCAAGATACACATTTCTAGCCAGGCATTGTGGCGCTCACTAGAAATCTCAGTATTCAGGGGACCTAAAACGGGAGGATGGTAAGTTCAAGGCCAGTGTGGGATACATAGTGAGACAATGACAAAAAAATAAAAAGAAGATAACACATTTCCACCAAAAGGAGGATCCTTCCCCTTGTAATTTTATAGCCACATCTACTTCCTCCCATCTGCTTTACCCTTAGCAACCACTAATTTGTTGTCCATGTTAATAACTATCATTTTGTGAATACTGTGCAAATGAAGATTCACCTCTTTTTTATTTATTTTTTAGACAGGAGTCTCACTATGTTGTCCAGGCTGATCTCAAACTCCAAGGTTCAGGAGATCCTTGCAACTCAGCCTGTTGAGTGCTCAGACTATGACACTCAAGCAATGTGAATGTTAGTCATTTTTCAATATCAACATTTCTCTTTCCTGTCAAAAACTTGCCATTTATTTAGAAAAGCTTACTTTTGAGCTTGAGGTATAGCTTATCATGTACAAGGCCTTGCATTCAATCCCCAGCACAGCCACCCCAGCCCGCCAAAAAAGGTTTAAAACATGGTATCTTCCAAAGAATACTGTTTCTTGCTTATACTGACCAACAAGAGCTCCATGCCTCATTAATGGAAGCATCAATAAAAGGAAATATGATTCACAAGCTATTCCCACGGTTGGTCCCTCACCCCCCACCCCCTCCAACTCAGAGACTCATGCCTGTGCTTTAATCCCTTGAACCACATTCCCAGACCATGTCTTGTGGTATGAATATGTTTTTCTTCTCCAAAACTCATGTTGACATTTGACTGCCATTCTGATGGTGCCAGGAAGTAGGCCTTCAAGAGGTGAGTGGGTTGCATTGGTTACCATAAAGCAGGTTTAAGAGTGAGACTGTCAGCTGTATTTTGTCTCTTTTGCACAAGCCTGATTGCACCTTCTGACTTATGCCATGTTATTAATGAGCACAATGCCTTCACTCCATGAGGCTGCCCTATTTCAGACTTTTCAGCTTTCAGAGCCATGAGCCTTAAGACTTCTTTCCTTGAAAAATCACTCATTGTCAGGTATTCTATTACAGTAACAGAAAACAGATTAAGACAGGATGCAAGTATAGGCATGCGAGGGTAATATCACTGACTTTAAAAGAAGAATTTCAAAATCTCGTGGTATTTGAATTTCTTATTTATGTGGGAATTTTTCTTCTAGACAGAACTGTTCTCCAGTCTAGAATTCAATGCCCTACAAAACTGGACCCTATATGCAAAATAGAGATAACCCTTTTTGGAGTTATCTGAAATTTTTAGCAATAGTATATGTGGAAGTAGCTGGCATATATCTGGCAGAATAAGACCTCAAGATGTGGCATGGCAACACATATTCTATCATTTTTAACATACACACGGGAGGCAGAGACAAGGATTAGGATTAAAATAAAGGACTACACTGGGCACCTGTAGCTCAATCCTAGCTACTTGGGAGGTAGAGACTGTGAGGATGGGGGTTCAAGGCCGGCCCAGACAAAAAGTTTGGAAGACCCTATTTCAACAGAAAAAGCTGAGTGTGGTGGCACACTACCAGCTATGGTGGGAATGATAAAATAGAGGAAGATCGTGGTCAGGCCAGTCTAAGCAAGACCCTATCTCCAAAACAACCAGAGCAAAAAGGGTTAGAAGCATACCTTAAGTGGTAGAGCACCTGTTTAGCAAGTGCAAAGCCCTGAGTTCAAACTCTAGTACCACCACACACACACACACACACACACACACACACACACACACACACAAAAGACTAAAAGTCTAGTTTCTTTTTTTTTTTTTGCTGTAATGGGGCTTGAACTCAGGGCCTACACCTTGAATCACTCCCAACAGCTCTGTTTTGTGTTGGGTTTTTTCAAGATAGGGTCTCACAAACTATTTGCCAGGGCTGGCTTCGAACTACAACCTAAAAGGATCTCTGCCTCCTGAGTAGCGAGGATTACAGGCATGAGCCACCAGTACCCAGCTTCTAGTGCCATCTTTTATATTAAATATATGAAACAGAAATGGGAACTGGGGCAAATCTCAGTTTCCCTATTTACTAAAATGAAGGTTTGCATTAGATGGCTGTTAGGATTCCTTCCAACTCAAATTTAGTAACCCCAAACAAGCTAAAAGCAGCAGGCCA